GAACCGCTGCCACTTCTTCCTACGTGCTCGTTCGACCCTTTTTCCCATCTTTGCCCATCGTTCCGAGCATCTCGCGATTACACGCCGTTCGCGAAGCTTCTCAGACGCCGGGTCGCCGATTCGTGGGACCGGACCGCGCTCGGAGCTTGTGACTCGGGGTTCGGGGGTTTTTGACAGCACGGAGGATTGACGGACCGGTGGCTGATCATCTGGACGAGGGAGAACGAGAGTATACGAAAGTGGTGCGGAAAAATGAACTGGTTCTTCACGAGTCGACCTATTGACAGGTAGTAGACTGCTAGTGCGTGAATATATCGGGAACTGTGCTTAACGGGACTGGCGTACCGCGAAAAAATCCTACTGCTACGTGACCTTGAATATCATACAGCCTCGACGAAATATCGCCAGCTTATGCGAGTACTCGCGCGAGAAGCGAAGAAGAGCGAAGGCGTGCTCCGATCGTAGGTTGATGCTCGATTTTCTGCCTCTGCTCGCGGGACAATCGGTGTAATCGTTCGAAAATAAGGAGGGAAGAGATCGTGGTATAACAATGAACACGTCTCGGAGCGTTTGAGACAGCGACCACTCGCTCCCATTGTCTCTTGAAAGTCGAACGCGAGCGGAAAAAAGGAGCAAGAGAGAGGATCAGGGGAGAAACGAAGAGGATTCAATGAAAGATGGCCTCTATGTGTGGCAGCAGCAAAAGTTACCCGGCGATAAACACCGGCAGCTACTACAGACCCGGTGCTTATCCTTATCAGGTGAGTGATAACGTTAGAAATTCGTGGGTGAAACGGCCCGTATAGGGCCTGTGAGTCCTTTGTAAGAGAGTGGTGTAATTTTCTGCTGGTTCTGAACTAAAAGTATTATTTTGACGAAATGTTGAGAGAATATTCGAGAGATTTTTGTAAAAGAGAGTGGAGGAGATATGGAAAAATTTGAATCTTGCAATGGCAGATATTTAAATTTGAGATTTATTATTATTAGAGAAATTAAAAAATACGAAATGTAATTAACACTAGCTATGGACTACCAATAGTGTCAAAATGACTTCTTTGGGATATTTTATTTTTGGAAGTATTGGTAAAATGTAGCTACTTTTTGAAGAATTAATATCGACTCTCCCTCAGATAGGAGTATAATTATTTATACCTATTTATTTCTATCACATCACTTTAATTAATTTCGCTTATGTATCGCTTATGTACATATTTATGTAGACATTACGAGTCCATAGTTGTAATGTTAAATGCAAGACACGAAGCTTGGATAAGGAAAGAAATTAAATTCAAAATTATTGCGAATGATTGAGGTAGGAAAATTGGAAACCTAGTGCAATAGTAAATGCAAAATATGATAAATTAATATACGAAAATTCGTAAGTGAAATAGGAAATAAATTAATTATCATCGTAATTAAATTTTAAAGTATTAAAATGCAAATATTTGGAATTCTCGTGTAAAATAGATGAAAAGTAAAATACGAAAGATTGATATAGAAAATTGAAATTAAAATAGAAATTGAATCCGAAACCTGGTTAAAAATTTATATGGAATTTCGAATATACATAATTTCATATTTCGAAGAGAAAATAGCATTTAAAAATGTAAAACATCAAACATCAATACGTAAAAATTCTCATTTCAATCTGTTAAGATCTAAAATACGAATAATTGTTGAACGAAAATTCAAAAGAAGTTAAAATAATCCCGAATTCTCAACGCGGGAAAATTCAAAATCCTAACCTCTTACAACGCTCAAAAGTACGTAAATCCAACAATAAAGTAACCGAATCCAATCGAAAATACTGATATCGCGTTCGAAAATCTGATAGAGGAACGTGCCGAGTATAAAACGTAACCGCGAATTTGAAATTCGCGCGCGAAACGTTGAGAATTTGCATATGAAAATTCGCATACACAATTACATAATTCGAAGAGAAAAATAGCATTTAAAAATGTAAAACACTCTCATCTCAATCTGTTAAGATCTAAAATACGAATAATTGATGGACAAAAATTCAAAATGAAGTTAAAATAATCCCGAATTTTCATTGCGGGAAAATTCAAAGTTCTAACCTCTAACAACGCACAAAGGTACGTGAAACCAAATACAAAGTACGCGAATCCAATTGAAAATACTGATGTCTCGCTCGAAATTCTGATGGAAGAACGTGCCGAGTATAAAGCATAACCGCGAATTTGAAATTCGCGCGCGAAACGACTTAACCTCCGTCGCCGCGTAGTTCATAGTTCTACGAGACGATTTACAATATAAAACGCATAAAACACACGAAGACATTATCGCGATCGTTAGACTTGCCTCCGGATATTCGGATGCTTACACCTCGGCTCCGTTATGATCCGAACCGGAAATCATTCTGACGTGCTTCGCGGCGAACGCATTAGGCTTGCGAAGGAGGAACGTGACTGCATCTATTAAGAGAAAACCCGTTTCATAGGCAGCGTGCGCAACACAAGTAAAATTCGACATGAATAATACAACGATCTCTTGTTTAGTCCATCACTTTGGGCATCTATGAAAGGAAAATTAAAACGTTCGGACGATAATCACGTCCATAACCATTCCTGGCCAATTCGATTCCTCCGGTAGATGAGCTTCCTCTGTTTGCCTAAACGCGAATGCAGAAAGCGATTGGCATAATTCGAATGAAACGGAATTCCTGGAACAATGGAGTAAGCGATAATAAAAATGGAAATTATTATCCGATATCGTAATAGACGAGGATAAAACATGGAAAATATTTTACCTGTTTAACCTCCAACTGGTGACATGTCAAATTGACATGACATTTTAGTGATGCATGATGAATTGTTGTATTTATATTAAAATGAAGAAAAACAAATTTTACTTCAATTATTAATAAAAATATAATTTTGGTTAAGAATTATCAGAGTATAATTAATGTGGTAAAATCACGTTGTAAATAACATATGGTGAATGTATTACATATACTGTAGCAAATAAGTAAGTCACCAATTGGAGGTTAACGGTTGTTGTTTTGTGTCCATCTTGCAGATATTTGAGTTCATGGAGATGCTAGATTATTCTTTAATGGGGAATAATTATTTAATTTTGGGAATTATGCATATAATTTTGTCAAATTTTTATTATGAAGAAATAATGATCAGTTTGTTGGTCGAGTTGATTGAAAAATTATTCTCTATATTTTATTCATATTTAATATAAATAAATTTTTCTAACAAACATCTTGATGAAAAATCAGTATTAACGACACTAAATATTTATAATTGTTCAAAATATAATATGCACATAGAAGTATATTATATACAAAGTATAATATAATAATATATAGTAAGTATAATATAATAATACATAACAAGTATAATATACATTTATTGTACTATTTTTAACAAAATATTTATTAATTTATAATAACAGTGTAATGTACAGTTAGCGAGAAAAGTATTCATACACCAGTAGGTGCTCTACTTTGAATGCCGATAACTTTTTCTACAGAACATTAATTTAACAATGAAATATAATACAATGTAGGAAATTGACAGAACTTTTAAAGGATATATATGTAATTAAAATCGAAGCATCTTAATACAAATCACATAATAATATTCTTAACAAGTACGAAAACCGTTGGGAAAAAGCTATTTATACAGCTGTCATCTATCGATAAAAGATGTATAAACTATTGAATGAGGGCATTCCCGATGTGCATTGTACAATATTTCGTTGTTAAATTAATGCTCTGTAGAAAAACTTAACGGCATTCAAAGTAGAGTACCTACTGGTGTAATACTTTTTTCGCTAACTGTACATTACACTGTTATCACAAGGTGGATTCATAAATATTTCGTTAAAAATAGTGGAATAAAAAAGGTACGTGTATACAAACAATTGTAAATACCTACTGTTGTTAATACAGATTTTTCATTAAGATGTTTATTAGAAAAATCTTTTAGTAATTTTTCAAAATTTGGACAGGAAAAAATGTAAAATGGAGAAATAAATCTCAAAATTTTGAAAATCTTTCGAGACCATAATTAATAAAATGAAAAGTAGATCAGTGTTAGACTTCTGTCTCTAAATTGTGGTTAATAATAATTTACATGGGAATTTTGTTCTGACTACTGTCTTTAAAAGAAAAACGAGTTATAACATTATTTGACATTTTGGGATTAGATTAAAACCAAATTTTTAATTCAAATTTGTGCAGAATATGTCAATTAAAACAAAATCACTGGACAATCATAATCAAGCCTTCTGTCGAATTTTGAAAATTAAGAAAATTAGTTAATAATCCATATAGGAAAATCCATATATAAAATATAAAATCCAAAATATATAATCCATATATAAAATACATGAGATAATTATTATATTAATATACAGGGTGTCCCATTTAACTTGAACATCTAAATTTCTTAATTTTTCTTTATGATGATTCTGAACAAACCTTTTTCTTTTTATAATCAGGTGTACTTCCTAAGAAATTATTTAAACTCCCTTTAGACATTTTTCTAAATAACAAAAATTATTTATACGTCCACTTTAAATTGATATATAATTACCTCTCAAAAATTAGACAATTAATAGCTGTAAGTAAAGTATAGGGTGTCCCAAAATTCACGCAAGATTCGAATCTTGCACCATTTATGCAGAAAAGTGATGCCAACCAGAAAGAAAAAATACTAAGATACTAAAATACTAAAATACTGAAATACTAAGATACTAAAATTCCAAAATACCAAGATACTAAAATACTAAAATACTGAAATACTAAGATACTAAAATTCTAAAATACCAAATTACTAAAATACTAAGTATACTTTATATGACTGAGATACTAAAATACTAAGTATACTTTATATGACTGAGATACTAAAATACTAAAATACTAAGTATACTTTATATGACTGAGATACTAAAATACCAAAATACTAAGTATACTTTATATGACTAAGATACTAAAATACTAAGTATACTTTACTTTATACGATGTGTACTTTATGAATCAACAAAGGATTTACAATTTTTAATTACAACCTGTATTTTCTATAATAATAATTAATACAGGTTTTAATAATAATTAAATTTTCTATCTGTATTTTCTATCAAAATTGCTTCTTGCGTGAATTGTTTGGGACACCTATTATTAACAAAATTGCTCGACATCTCAGGGTTAGACATAAATTATACCGAATACCTGTCATTGACAATGAGAGTGACGAATAACGGGAAACATGGAAAACTGTTCTCAGTCAGGTTCCACGAATGTCGTTAAAGATTTTCCCGTTGTTAGCGAAGAAGCGAACAAAGGTGCTCCCAACGATGGGGAGCAACGAAAGTGAGAAAACGGAAGAAAACCTCTGCGAGATAAGATTGAGTACGACAATCTAGGAATGCTTTCAATGTCTTCTGGAAAAACAAAGAACAATGCGAGCACACGTTGGATTTTCGACGTGTAAAATCTCCGAATAAGTCGCGTTTACGCGCTGTAATTACCGCTTAAATCGTCCTGTAATTTCCGTGGAAGCGCGTTGCACCTCTCCAATGCGCAAACATAATTATTTCTCCGAGTATTGGAAGTGCTTGGAAGCGTAAAACGTAGAATTAATTCTTCCTTACGATCATTATTCGCGAGTTTTACGCGTTTGCGGGACTATTATGTCGTCTGTCGATTGCGATCCGAGACCATCTTCGAGAGGACAGGATAAATCCATTTTTCCTTCAGCTTTTCCTTCTTTTTCTTCATTTCTGCTGC